TTATTTTTACAATCCATTTTTTTCTCCTATTAGGTTCTGGGGGGATTTGATGAAAGGAAAGCTCCGGGTTTCTCCTTTTATCCCCGGAGCATTCAGGTACACAACAGTGTTCGGCCGCCATCTTGAATTTCCGAAGCGGGAATAGCCTCGTTCTCATGCTGCTCATTAATATGCGCATAAATATTAAGAAGGATGAATTACAGCTTCAATGACTACACGCTTTTTTGGGGCAGATTTTAAACCCCCCTTTTTAGGCAAGCGCAAGTAAACTTTTTCCCCAATGTTATATTGTGACGGAGGATGTGCTCTAGAATGTTGTCTTGTCATTCGTTTAGAGCAACGATCTGTTGCTTCTCTCGCCATCTTTCTTACATTTGAAATGTGTTTAGAACGTTCTTTTAGACCTTGACTTGTTGGTTCACAACAAGCTGCAACTTCGTTATTTGAGGTAATTGTTTGAAAGGAGTTACATTTCCTACCAAAATAAACTTCAAAAGGAGTTTTATAGGCTATTACCTCTTTTGGGTCTTCGTTAAGTATGCGTTGATAAATGGGAAGTCCCCTTGCCCAATTAATGCCTTCATCACACATTTTAGCTAAATCGTACTCCATTTTTGCTCTTAACGTCTTGTCGCTTCTTTCCACCTTCCCCTGCGATTGAGGGTGGTAGGGGCGACCACAAATTATTTTGATTTCGAACCTTTGGCATAGTTTTCTGATCGCGCCTTTGAATTCGGTCCCCTGGTCACATTGTATAACACGAGGTGGTCCATGTCCATAGTAGATATCTCGTAATGCTTTAGCGATTCTTGGCTGTTCTTTCCCGCCATAGGACGCAGCCACACAAATCTGCTGAAAACGTCCATAACAGATAAAACATATCTGTAGCAGACGTTATTCATCTGTACCATACCACTTTTACCTAAATCCATGAGGTCTATGTGATGCCTCGATTGAACATCCCGCGCACGAATCGGGTTCAACGTTGCCTTATTGTAGAACTTTGCATTTCTTTTGTAGTGAAACTTATCACTATTAAGAATTTCTTGAACCTTTTTTCTGCTTAGTCCAATCAAGTTGTCGCGTAAAGAATATACTATTTTAGCAGCACCAGATCCTGTAACCACAAAATGGTAGTGTATAAGATTTTGTAGATCCTCTGTTTTATCATTCAATCATTCAATCAATCAAACAATCAATTAACGAGGGACGAATAGTTATATGTGGGGACTATAGCACTGCTCATGAATAAAATACAATGGAATGGAATTTGAAAAGGGGCCGAGGAATGAAATTACATATCCGGATAGAAAATTAGACAAGTTTCATACAGCTTTGGTCCGCAATACATTTTGACACCTAGATGGCGTCCTGCGTGTGAGTGCATACCACAGTAAAGGGTGTGGGGTTTGTTTTTGCGACTTAGTCAAACGCACGATAAAAACATTGAATTTTTTTTTTCAATACGAAAAATACGAAAATGTTCACGCGTGCGTCTCTTTGTTCAATAGATGTATGTTTGGCATGAAATCTTTAGCGTCCCTGTGACTACGCGAAGAATAAGCTCGCGTAAACGCGACGGACGACTTATTTACCACGACTCTCGAATAAGCAGCGCGCGGGAAAATATTTCATTGTGAAAAACATTTTGTTTCAATAGGGCGATACCTAACATCTAGATATTATGGTCAATTATTTAGAACAAACAAATATAACAATTTGAGTAATAAAAAAAAAAAAAAAAAGCATGGTTATTATAATTATTTTTCTAACCTTTTGTGCGATGGAATTGTTCTGTGACAACGTTATTTATTTCACTACTTCTTAGCAAGCGACGTCCCTTGCAGTATAGGAGTTTTTTTCCATTCTCTATTTTAAGCGTTATATCCCCTTTAGATCTCCAAAAGCGTACTATTGCATTATTCTCTGCTTCTGTTCGGATCTTTACTGGTGGAAGTTGTTGTCCTTCGACAATCTTGATGAGAGCGTTGTATATATCATCTGGAATAGATGATTGACGTCTCTTGCCTCTCTCCCGTTTTTTACGTACATATTTACTTGACATACAAGAATCGACAAGAATCATATAAGTCAACAGTAGAAAAAGCAAAGTAAACTTCATTGTCAAACAAGTGTCTAGGCATCTGTCTGACAAACTTCAAACAGTGTCTAGACAAATAACTAGACGCCATGCCACCAGACAAATGGCTTAGAATTCTCACTAAAGACTTTTCCTCCTTCTTTCAATTCCTCTTTCCTTCACTTTTCTTTTCTTTTTTTTCTTGCACGGCTTCATGATAATACGTTAATTTAATTAGTAGTCTTTTGATGGAGGTGCGTCAATCGTACCGCAATCGTACTCACTAGTACTCACCCGTATCATATTGCCGTATCAAATTAGAGTGTAAACAGTATATCCGTAAAATTTTATTCAAATTCTATTGTTTTCTATTGCTTAATTAGCACTCTTTTTTTACTATTTAGTAAATTGCATTTCGTGGATATATTGCTTGCACTCTATTATATATTTTTTAGTTTTTTTAAAATATGAATTATTTCTTGTGTTTGTTTTTTTCCTATTATATTTTTTACTTGGACTGATACATAAGATTTCTTTCGGGTTCTTGGACATTTGTGACCTTTATTACATTTGTGACCAAAGTTTATTACATTTGTGACCTTTATTACATTTGTGACCAAAGTTTATTACATTTGTGACCTTTATTACATTTGGRTCCAGTTTTTACATTTGTGCCTTCTACACCTTTAATCTCTAACTACAAAGTTGTTTAAATAGGAACATAACTTTATCCACGTTTACCACGCAACATTATAAAGGTATATAAATCCAACCATAACCTTTATCTACCTTTAATATACTACCTTTGACATTGATTAAAGGTGACTTACGTTTAACACGACATTACGACACCATAAAACATTTGTAAAGGCAATGAGCCTTTAATTACCTTTACTCGATAGCTTAAAGGTAGAAATGTGCCTTTAATCATATGAAGCCTGAATATTAAAGGGGAATAAAGTTGTCATTTCGCCCTGTGTTGGAGGCCCTTGTCAATCATATTAAGATATTAGATGAAAATTTATTATTGTGTTCTGGTCCCATACATCTCAAATCGATGAATTTACTGATAGAGAGCTCCGTATGAGGTATAGATTTGGTCGACAGTCTATTATTTTCATTACGAACCTCATTTACGACGACCTGAAGCGAAAGACAAAGCGAAATCATGCTCTTTGCCCGATCGACCAAGTGTTAATAGCCTTGAGGTTTTATGCCAGTGGCAGTTTTCTTCAAGTTATTGGCGACACTGTTGGTGTAGACAAAGCAACCGTTTCTCGAGTGGTGTTTTCCGTAACACAAGCACTTATTGCACGTCGAGACCAGTTTATCAAGTGGCCATCCAACCAAGAAATTCAAGAAATCAAAAATGCCTTCTTTCAGCGAGGTGGATTCCCAGGCGTGATTGGTTGCGTTGACGGAACACACATCAGGATTCAGGCACCCCACGAGTACGAGAAAGCATATGT